ATAGATAGATAGATAGATAGATAGATAGATAGATAGATAGATAGATAAATAAATAAATAATCCTCTGACTCTGACCTGAGCCAGGTTAGTGCTGCCTCTGCATGTTCTAAATCTCCTCTTTCTCCTCCTCCTTTTGGAGCAGAGAGGAAAAATGCTGCTTCTTCCAGAAGAAAGAGCTCAAGTCTGAAAGGGAGGGTGTTTCTCCATAGAAAAGGAGGGGAAAAAAGTCATTTTCCTTTATCATGTTTTCTTCTTGCTTTCATACTCCCACTTTCTCCATTCTTGCTCCTGACAGACAGCCATGTAGTTCCATTGCTTTTTCTTTTTTCCTCCTCTTCCTTCTTTCTCACAGTCAGCCTTGAACTCCTTTCTCCTTTCCTTCCAGCCTTCAGGCCTGAGAGCTCCAGAGGCAGCTACATTGCCAAGCTTTGTTTCTCAGACACAAACACTAGAGATGCCTCTTTTTAAAGAAAAGAAATAACCATTAAGGGTTTCTTTGATGCTGGGTCCCATAGAAATGTACAGTATTTGTAGCCCTGGAAAGCAATTTTACATAGAAGCCTCTTCATCAAGCCAAGATCTTTCCATTGCTCCATGCTGAGAGGCAGGGTGAAGCAGGAGCAAAACCGGTAAAAAAAATCAGATCTTCCACAAGCCTGAGCATGGCAGGGGAAGATGATCCTGCCTTGTTCTTGTCTCAGGTAAACTAAAATAACACTGCTTCAGTCCTCAAAATGAATCAATGTCATGGAGTTGGTCTCCTAGCGAGTCCTTGGGAAGCATCACCTACAGTGCATTTTTCAACATTTCCCAAAAGGACACCTAGCCAATTTAACTGGTATGTCCATCACATTAGACATGTAGTCTTCTCCATGTTAACCTTATTTTGTGTCTCTGTGTGTGTGTGTATTTAGGATGCCTTTGCAGCTTTCCACAAAGATGAGGATCTAGTAAAGAAATATTTGAATTCACTTCTAATTGGAGAACTTGCACCAGATCAACCGAGCTGTGAGCCCACCAAAAATGTGAGTATATCCCTTTTGAAAACAAGGCATAATCCTGTTTCTGCATGTGTGCATGTGCTTGCGTGTGTGTATGCATATGTGTGAGAGAGAGACAGAGAGAGAGAGAGAGTAGAAATCTGGTAGCTTGCCAACAAAAAACTGCATTAATGCTCTAGCATAGAATAGGTAGAATTTAGCTTGTGATCCGTAGTTACATCCCCCAGTGATCTGTCTAGAACACTATTATCTGCAATAGTAATTTCTGGCTTTCTATGACTTAGCAAGAATGACAACAAACCAAATATCCCCTCCTAAATTAGATAACTAAGAAACCTCTCAGAAAATTCTATATTTGCATACAAAAGAATATGTGCATAAGGCCTGGGACTGAACACAAACTCCTTGAATGAGAAATATGCTCAGTGTCATCATGAAGGGATTATTTTTTGGAAGGGAAATACATATTACCCCTAAACTGGCTCTTGGCTACTGTTTCTCCACCTGATTATAACTGATGTGGCTTGACAGATCTCGTCTTTTGCTCATTTCTGCATTAAGTGACTCAGAGCACATCAGGGTGCTGATGATCTCAGCTGCTGGATTCCTTTTGCAGAACCACAGCCTTTATTGTTGTAGATACTTAGGCATACGTGCATACATATATATCCATCACGCTAATCCCTTTCAGGGTAAACAACATTATGTAGAATGCAGAGGAGTAAGAAACAATAAGCCAGAGGAATTAAAGGTATGAGATAAGAAAAGGAGAAAGACAAATAGCTAAATCTAGGTTACATCCATACAATCCACTTTATCTTTTCATATCTTTCTATTCTTAAAAAATGAAGATAAGCAGCTATACAAATGTGACAGATAGATAGACAGACAAATGAATATACAGATATTCTTACAAACTGTAATTTATTTTTATTTTATTTATTTATCATATTTATATAGCCATCCATTGCACACAAAATAATTGCTTCATCTATGTCTATATACCATTTCATTCATTGTGTATTGGACATTAAATGTCTTGCCTCTCTCTTTTTAAGGATATTATCAGCTCTGTGCTCTCACAACTTTCTCAGTCTTCTCCTTTGGTTTGACCCATTCACTTCTTACTAATTTGTTTTACAATTTGATCCTCATTCATTCTTTCTCACTGATCAAACTACCTCAACATATTTATTTCATACTGGTCACTCACTTTTGTATTTAATATACCTTTACTTCGGACTCATTCCTTCTTAACTCTATCTCCTTCTTTTACTACTTCAGAACCTCATTCCCACAGCATTAAATTTACTTATATGTTTGTCCTGATATAGCAAATTCCCATTTAAGAAGGTGTGCAGATGTATGCTCTTATATGCAGATATTTTATCCTCTTTTTAACAAACATCTGTTACTTGCAACAGACCACATACTACCCACAAATTTCCACCAGCACTTGGACATCTTAAAATTTCTCTTCTATCTTTACTAAACATTCTATCAAGGGACACGAATTCATGTACTTACTCTAATTCTTCACCATTTATACATACTGTAACTTGCAATCCTTCATTCCATTTTCCCTCTCAAACACAATTATCTTAATCTTTAAGGGGTAGGGAAGCCCCATTGCAGATTTTTAATGTTACTGCTATATTATTAACTCCAAATATTGATGCCTTGGTTCTTTGTTGTGAGACCTGGATGCAAAGTTTGTTTTACTGCCCAGAAGAATTTTTGTCCTGCTTAGTGAAAAGACAGAATGGTAGTGGAATGCATTTTCCAGATGTATCTCTCAAACAGTGGCCTAGATATAATTTTCTGGTCTTCAAGTCGCATCACTGAAACAAACTTTGGGTATTAATTTGATTCCCTTTATAATTTCATTGAAAGGAGAATACATAGCAATTTTTGAAAGTGCTCTGGTTACCATTGGTGAGGAGATATGATTGAGAAGATATGATATCCCCCATGTGAGATTCCCAAAGAGCTCTAGACTGTGGAATCAATATGATGAATATTTATCTATTTATTTATTTATTTATTGCATTTTATTTTATTTATTTATTTGTTTGTTTAACTTGTCCCCGCCCATCTCCCCACAATGGGGGACTCTGGGCAGCTTACAACACATTTATATCATGCACTTTCTTTGAAGCTCCAGATGGCATAAATGGGGGGTCTCCTTATTTTCTCCCAACAACTCGGTGTTATAGCTTGGCCTGAGAGAGAACAACCGGTTCTAAGTCACCCAGTAAGCTGCATGGTCCAGTAGGGATTTGAAACTGGTTCATCCTGCTCCAAGTCCAACATTAAGTTTAATACATAAAAGTCAAGATGGGCTTTTGGTCTAATTTACCAAAAGGGTTCTTATGTTCTGAGGGAATTAAAAAAAAACCCTGTCATCACTTCTTGTAGGAAATGCTGGTACATGATTTTCATGAACTGCGTGCAACAGTGAAGAAGATGGGGCTCTTGAAGACAAGATATACCTTTTTTGCTTTCATGTTTCTGCATGCTTTCATATTAGACATTGCATCTTGGTTTACAATCTGGTATTTTGGAAAATCCTGGATGCCTTTCCTTATTGGAGTAACGCTGTTCACCATTGCACAGGTAATCTCTTTGTGTTGAAAAGTATAACAGGGTTGTAGAATAGTCTTCAACATCCTTAGAACAATTTCATTGTTTACATTAAGAATTTAACACCTTGTAAACTTAGCTCAATTTTCATTTCTTTGAGCTGTTGAAACTGAATATAATAATTCAGCTGCACACAAACTAAGAAAAGTACTATTCCTATTGTCTCAGGACCTGAGCAAATTATTCTGCAGAATAAGCATGATATTATTTCACCTTATTTCACCTTATTTGTCTCCTGGAATTAAAATATTTTGAAGGAAGGCACTCTTCTTCCAGACAATGGTATTTGCTGGCACTAGAGAAGATACAGTATACTGTATAATCACACAATATGCATAATATAACTGCGGTTCTTTTCAATGGTGATCAGTGATGTTCTTCTACCAATTACTCCCATGCAGAAAAGGTGTGGAGAAATCACATACATATGCATTGTGTTGTCTGACTCTTGATTTTTTGCTTCCAGATCCAGTATGGATTTTTCCAGCACGATCTTGGTCATGTTTCAGTCTTTCAAAAGCCTAAGTGGAACAGAGTAGCTCACTTCGTGGTGATTAGCATTCTTAAGGTCAGAATCCAACCAGGAGAAGGGATGATTTATGTATTAATTGTGATGATTTATGCATTTGAAATTGGATCTGCCATTCATTGTTATTTTGTATCTCTAGGCTGTTTAAGAGCAGGGTAAAGATAATGCATTTATACAGCACACTTTAAGCACTGAACTACAGGTAGCCTCCAGTTTAAGGACAAGTTCCATTCCCAAGGTCTGTCCTTCAGTTAAATTTGTATGTAAGCTGGAACAGTATTATTGTATTGTATAATACTGTATAAGTGGTATTGTGTAATTAACTTGAACCATATGTATTTAACTTGAATCATTGTGTATTTAATTTGAATTTTGCTACAACAGGCTCTGTTCTTAACTATGGGTCATCTTTAAACCGGCTGTTATTAACCTGGGGACTACCTGTACTGTAAATATAGGATCATCTTTTGCAACACTCCTGTGAAGGCTAGTATTAGTAGTGCCTCTTTACAGAAAAGGGAGATGGGGTTAAGAGAAATGTGGCAGGCATAAGTCTATCTTTAAGATTTCATAGCTATGAAACAATTTCAACAACAGTTTTAACAATACTGAACTATGTCTGCTTTGCTTTTTCACTACTGAAGAGAAACCAGTGGAGTGTTTCTACGTCTACTTTTGTTTCACACACACACATTTAGCATCAAAACTGGAATTTTCAAAAATTAGTCTTGGAATGAAACCTTTTCAGGTATTTAATAAGAAGACATCATTACAGGAGAAGTAATGGAGCTAGCTTATACAGAAGTGATGGAGGCCAGAGTGTGCTGACGCTGTATGATTCAATTCCTGCCAGATGGAAGGAAACATAAACCAACAGAACTGTAGCTATTTCTTTTGTAGATAGTCAGTGGGGAATATATATAGGATACAGCATTATTCACAGAGAGATGGAATTCATGTTTGTATTTCTGTATTTCTCAAGGGAGGACCAGTGAGCCAATGGAACCACATGCATAACCAGCATCACGCCAAACCCAACTGCTTCCGGAAGGACCCTGATCTTAACATGCACCCATTCCTTTTCAGTCTGGGGAAGAAACTCTCTGTGGAGGTAAATAAATAGAAAGTCTTGGATAGACAAAAGACCAGAAAAAATTAGCAGTACTATCAATCAATCAATCAATCAATCAATCAACCCTAACCTCTGATGAGCAATTTAGGAAAGTGGGAGGAAAGGAACTTTGTTCTTTCTACCTCCCAGATTTCTTTACAGTGGCTCATGCTGCTGATGGATTAGTTCAGACACTACCTTATTTTCTAGTCTCTGCTTCTGTACTGAATTGTCAAACTTCTTTTCTTCTTTTGGATAACAATTCCCTACATGTTTGCATGCCAGCTACATCAGAGTCTGTTGCTACATGTCATTTTCTCTAACTACTGGAACTTACAAAAGAGGGCAGCTGTGATTAGAAAGCTGTTCCTGTCTTAACAGATCTTGACTGACCCCCAGCACAGACTCCTTCCCTGCTCAGAACACCATTTCTTAGTACAAATTACAATCACAATGCCACTTTTACAGTGACATTAGACATTTGGTTTTCTGGTATTTCTTTCTCTCTTGGCCCCAGCCATAATTTTAAGCACACTTTTCCTGCATTATACAGTTACATTGGCAGATCTGTTCCCATTCTGAGCTATATTTAATGACACAAAGTTCCACTGCACTCCTAAAATTTGTGCTTCGATGTATGCAGAACCAAAGAATTTAACCAAGTGATTTGTGCATATTTAAGGATGCAATAAAAATGACCTCAAAAACTGGCTTTCTGTTTAGGGCTTAGGCAAATTCAAAAAGGAAAACAAAAACAAAAACCATTCAGGCTGGTATTCTACCTTCAAATAAAAGATGATCAAGAGCTTTTGTTACTTTAGCAGTGATAAAAAAAAACTAAAGTAGACACACAGAACACTAGGTCACCTAATAATATTTAAAAGTAAGCCTAACTCTGACTTCTTAAAACCAATTCAAACAAAGCTCTGCTCACTTTCACAGGGGAGAAATGGCCTCATAAAAAAGGCACACTTTGTTTAACTGCCTATTTTCCTCTAATTTACATATCTAAATACTATTAAATGCATACATGGATATATTTAAACAACTGAGAACTTCATCACAGCATTGAAGAACTATCATAGTCAGTGGATAGCATAGTTTTAACCTCCACATTAGATGCAGAATATGCATGGGATCTCCCAAAGCCTGGAGAATGGATCCCAATGCCTCTCCAAAAGTTGACAAACCATAATTTTTAATGTGACAAAAAAGAGAAAGGGGATTCAACATATGAACTGAATTAAATTGAATCAAATTGAAATGAAGTGAAGTGAAGTGAAGTGAAGTGAAGTGAAGTGAAAGCACATTTAATTTTGGTGTTATCTTGTCCACTTTTTTTTCTCTAGCCCTGTCTATTTTGGAAAGGTGGCCACCTCAAAGATCAGGTGCAGCCCTCACCCCATAAAAGGCTGTGTGCACTACAGAAGATCAGGAAACACAGATCAAGTGATCTATGACATAGCAATCTGCAAAGATCAAACTCTTCAATATCTATATTGTAGAGAATGGACCCTGATAACCTGACACTGATGTGGAATTTACTGTACATAGTTGTCAATTTAACTGTTGTGTTCTTTCTCTCCATGTGCAGCTCGGAAAGAAGAAAATGAAGTACATGCCTTACCAGCACCAACACAAATACTTCACCCGTAAGTGTTTTGCCATGTTCACAGGAGCCTGAATTTTGGATAACCAATGAGGTCATATAGCAGCCCTATAAGGTAGACCACACTAAGAAACCGATGCCGCATAGGTCAGGACTACTTTTGTTAGAACAGCTATAGCATCAGGATCTTGCAAGTCTGAATGTGCTTCCTCCCTTTACCTTCATGTGAACCAGGGAGTGGCCTGAGACATTTACTCAAATTAGTTTCTTGGAAAGGGCTCAAGCCGCACTTGTCTGATTGTTGCCTTGGCAGCAGCTCTTCCTCCAGGTCTTCAAGGCCATTCCCTATCCCCTCTACATCAGGTCTTGGACTCAATCACTACAGAAATACCCCAATGGGCACTTGGGCAATATGTTAGGGAATAAGATGGATAGTTTAATGCAAGATGGGATTCAGAAGCAGAGGTTGTTTTTTTCCTCTTGGATATGTTCTACCTTTATTTTAGTTCATGTCACACACTCATTTTTGTATTCTTCTTTTGCATTTTTACATTAGTCTTAGCCCCATTGACGTTTACGATTGCTGTCCAATTGATTATATTCCGCTATTTATTTCAAAGGAAAAAATGGTTGGTAAGTCACAATGGCTCTTTATTTTAGGGGATTGGTGTATGGTCAAGTTTTACAAATAACAAACCAAGAGAGTGACCTGGATAATTTTTCTATATTGGATTAACAAAAGAGGCTCGTTAAAACTTTGAAGAATTTTGTGAGAGGGGGCAAAGAAAAAGTGAAAAAAAATCAAGTTTCAGGACATTATTTGAAGGGACTAAAGATCAAGATCGTTAAAAGTAAAAGAAAGGGATATAAAGTTGGTTTATTTGATCAAGGTTAAAATAGATATGGTGTTATTTCTGGCCATCCATAATGGACTTTTGCTGATCAGGACTGAAACAACTAGGGTTGCTTATAGATAAGAGATGGGATATGCAAAGAAGAGATCATTTGTTTTATTTTTAGAGAAGGTGATAAGTTACTAAAATTGTTTATACTTGTGATGAAGGGGGAATCATTTTTTATATATTTCTTTTCTTTTTCTTTCCTATTTTTTCTTTTTTCTTTCTTTTCTATTTTTATTTCTATTTTTTCTCCACTTTCTTTTTTCTTTTCTTTTTTAGTTTGTGTTAATTTTTATCTTTTTAACTGTAATTTTTATTACAATTGCTATTTTAAAAAATATGTTAACAATGAGCCTGTTCCCACTGGATTGCATCAGAAATTAGTGAAGTTATCTCCAAGACTGTAAATTGTTTAGCTTATTTTCCAAGCCAACCTGAAATTCAGAAAACAGGCATACATTCCTTCAGGGAGAGGCACAGGTAGCAGCAGCAGCGGGAACAGCACGTGATGAAGAGCAGAGGGAGAGACTGCCCTGAGATTGCATTTCTAGTTGCCATGGATACTGTGGTGCAGTTGCAGAGACATGGGGGAGGGATTATCTGGGGCACTCATATGGGGAATATGCTACAGTTTATTAATAATAACAGCAATGCTCCACAATTAGACATACTATAGGTAGAAAACCTCAGCCCTACCCTTGAGTGTAACACAGTTCTGCTCAGTTTGAGTCACATCCCCATCCGTTGCAATCCTTAGCCATTCCAAAAGACATGAGCTAGCAGCTTCCAGAATGCCCACTCCTGCTCTAGAGAAATTCTTTCCAGTTTGATGTAAATCAGGATTCCTGTACAACTGATGCTAGTAGTGGAACAGATTCTCTCTCCACCCTGACTCCTTCATCATTGTGGGAGTTATACAAGATGCACGAATGAGGAGGCCCTGAAAGTCTAACAGCACTATACTACAGATTGCCAATGTTATTGCATTATAGCCTTTAGCCCCTCTATTTGCTACATTACAGGTAATTAGTCTGAAATTAACAAAGGAACTCATAATAATGATCCATATGTTGTTGCTATTGTGGTTATTCAACACTCTATTCTTTGGCAGGAGCTGTTTTTCACTCTTTTCTATGACCTCCGTGTCTGCCTCATGTATGTTCCTTTAATGGGATTTAAGAGCTTCATGGCTTACTACTGGTTAGCCAGGTAATAACAATTATATAAAACTCTATCCTGCTGCCATTACCCAACTAATGCTTTTAAGGAGTGTGAAGTCAAAAGGTGACCTTCAGTATGTACAAATTAGCTTCTTCATAGCAAATTTGTAGCTAGAACATAGCTAGCTTTGTTCTCCAGCCTGAAAAAATAATGAGGTTTCCCTTTCTTTCTGACTTAACAATGTGTGGACCTAAAACAGATAAGCCCCTGTTAAAATTATTACTGACCTTTTCACATGTTACAATGGTTTCTGCATCACAGCAAGTACCATTATAATCACAAGACTTTTATTTGCTGTGGATGCAGTTACTGACTGTAGATTTGAGAGATGCAATAGAAAATCTTCCACATGGTGCATGCCTCAAAAGATCAACAAGTAATATCTATGTCTATATTACTGGGCTTTTTTACTTAAAAAACTAGATGTCATCCTTCCTCAAGCTCACCTCAAACTAGTGTGTAACATATAAAAACTAAAATAAGTGAAAAACAACTATGCCATTAAAGCAGCACAGCCACCATAGTGATCTTGATCAAACTCCTGTCATTGTTAAGGTCATTACCAATTATCAAAGTATTACTTACCAGCACCTCTACAACCACTAATTATCATGTCTTCCATGTCATCACTATCAATATTTATACCCTACAGCACCACAACAATTAAGCAGCTAAACAGTTTAGCCCAGCTAAAAGGAACAGATAAAAAACCATACCACAGGACAATTTTATTCCACCTTTGCTGCTTTATGCCCTGCTCCTGACCTCATGCAACTGACTGCAATCTAGCAGTCATGAGCTGCAAACGTCTAAAACAATCGAGTTCCTACCCTCAGAAAAAACAGCACTATTGCTGTCTCCTGTGCTTCACAGTTGGGTAAAAACTGCATCTCAGTGACTTCGTCCAAGGCATCAGGGCCTTTGGAGAGCTGCCTGCCATATCCGTATATAACCTGCCTACCAACTTCTGTTTCATCCAATCTACCCCCAGGCAAAAGCCCTCAAATGCAGTTTTGTTGGCATGTGGTTTTGCAGCCCTAAAACTCTCAGGATTTGTTGGGACAATCAGCTTTAAGGCTGCTCTGGCACCATGGAAATGAAGGATTTTTAGATTTCTTTAACACTTTCACAAATCAATCCTCCATTGCAGTCCCACCAGCAATCTATCAGAAAGATTGCTTCCTAAACAAACAGACAAGCACACAAATGTATGTTGCAAAATGCCTGGATAGCGCATGTTTTGCAGGGAGGACTAGAAACCTCTTTGCTTTTTTTTTTTGCAAAGGAAGAGGAAGGAGCTGTTTGTAACTCCTATGTCATTGAAAGCTCTGGGGACAGTGCACCTTAGTGATTTTCAAGCCAGAAGAATTAGCGTTCATTGGCTGGGATTCTCAGTGTTAGCTGTTGGCTAGTTCAGACTGAGCAACAATTGTCTTAGGGTGATGTCTGTGAAAATCAAACTTTTAAGTATATAATTAACATAGAGCTAAAAGTGATTTTGATCAATTGATAGTGAGGACACAGTGGAGAAATCAGGCTGGTTTTAAAGTACGTTGAGAATTATTTGCAAATGGGAAGATTGATGATGAGGAAATGAATATGGAAAGGGAGCTATGAAGGCAAATAGAGGCAAATCTTAAGAGCTTTTCTCTCTCTTTAGAAACAGAAAGATGAACTTAAGCACTTTTATCTGCCTTTCTTGCCCAATAGGTACTGTAATCCGAGTGTGGGCAGCTCATCAACTTGTGCAACTAATAGCACTACTTGCCTAGTTGAGAACTCTGAAGAATGTGAGTGCTTGCACAGGTTTAGAATACCTGAAACTTCTAATTGGACATGAGGGCTTAAAGTGTTATAGATTAATCTACAGGGTTGTTACAAAATACAATAGCTTTAACTCCCTGCTTCTGTCAATAAGAATTTGCCTTCCTGTATAGTCTGTTAGTGCAGTGGTGTAGTACATAGAGGTGTGCACGTGTGTGAGAATATACATTTCTAAAGGTGCCAGAAACTTCAACTTCATAGATGCAGTTTTGTTATGCATTCTAGATAAAGATGGGCTACATTCACATTGTTGAAATCCTGAAACATGTTGTCTTGTAAACAATCTTTTTTTAACAAAATTGAAACTTTAAAAGTTTTCCATAACAGTGACTATATGGTATAGCAATGATCATGCCATGTATTGGGCAGATACAAGCAAAGTAGTTTTACTAGCAAATAAACCATTTAGAGAGCTTGTTTGAATCATGATTGTTACTGCTTGTATGTCTACACAGGTTATTAGAAAGCACATGGTTTCTCTGGGTCTCACAGATGAACCACATTCCAATGAACATTGACTATGATCAGAATTTAGATTGGTTCTCTGCCCAGGTAAGATAGTTTCTATTTAAAGGGGAAATGTCCTTTCATTGGATAATCTTATTCTCAAATGTTGGATCCTTAGTAGTGAAACACAGGGCCAGATTATGCAGCTGTTTTCTTAAATATTTCATGTCCTTATCTACATGGGAACATGATCTTGTAAAGAGCAGGTAATGCAATTTATATGTCTATGCTGGCAGTTGGAAATCACTTCCATATTGCACTCACTGGGAAAAATGCAATTGCACTATGATGCCCTTTCTCTTCTCATGGAGAAGAGGTGGGGGACCAACAATGATCTCATTGTCCATGGTAGATGATGAGGCCACTGGTGGTAAACAATGTGGTACATTGCCTGTTGATCTCCCCTGTTTTTTCTTCATGACAACTGGGTAAGGCAGGAATAATACCAATGATGTAGCTTCCAGCCTCCACCCTAAAGGACAGTTTACAATTCCAGATCCCCACATGTGCAATTCAGAGTAATTGTTCTGTCTGCGGTCATGAACCCAGATATTCAATGGTGTTGAAAATTAACTTTGTAAGATCTATTGGTCCAGAGAAAAAGAACTTAATAGATCCACAAGGCCAACATATTGATTCCAGATAGGACTAGCCAAACATTGATGGTGATGAAAGAAACAGTGCTATCTTCTCTATATATTGTAGAGAAGAACATATTGGAGGAGGTCTGAATCTTCTGGTGGTAGTGAGGGCAATCTCCCCAGATAGCTTAGAATGACTGTGTGCACTTGGGGGAAAAAACTAATTATTTCTTTCATTTTAGTTTTTTAAAAACAAGTCTTTCAAGATTTTTTGGTGTCCTTTTACCTTAGGGCTTTGCACAGGATATTACAGGACTGGAGATTGAGTTGGAAACACTCTATGGCTGTAACACTACAATTTCAAGACTGTGGTTTAGGCAAGACAATTAAGGATGGGCCTAGATGAATAGATTATATGAATAGGTCTCTGGCAAGCATTAGGCAAATTAAAGGTGATGCCCTGAAACTTGATTACAGGGTTGTAACTTAACAAAAGAAACATTATATAGTTGTGATATTAACACCAGATCATCTCTGCATAGATAACCTGACCTATCACAAGAGAGAATGACAGATAATGAGAGAGATGACAGCTTTTCTATTTTTTTTTTTTTTAACAGTTAGCCATAAATACAAATGCACAATGGGTAATTGTTTATCTTTGTATTGGGAATAGCTAAGTAAATGATATTGCAAGACTGGAAAAGTACTATTACTGTGGATATTAAGGACTGGATTCAAGAAATATGTGATTTAACAATTTTGAAAAAACATTTTTCTAATGAATTAAACCTGTTAAGTTGATAGAAACTACTGAAGAAACATAATGTTTAGCAATAAATGATGTCACTGGAACGCTACATGTTTCTATTTCTCCCTTAGCTCTCAGCAACATGTAATGTGGAGCAATCTCTATTCAATGACTGGTACACTGGGCACTTGAATTTCCAGATTGAACATCAGTGAGTACAAGTTATATAGAAAAATTGTACTGTATATAATACAGCTTTTGTACAGCTTTACTGTATGCATCACACGTGTATTATGGCTCAAGCTTTGTTCCAAATGATGGCTGCGGTCAGGAGTTTTGGCTTGTTCTAAGGAAGGCAGATCTTGTCCCAGTTATACATGCTGTGGCTATTCCAGACTAGACCAGGTTCTGTCCTGAAAAAGTGCCTAGAAGCAGTATTTCATGCAAAATGCAGCAGCAACACTGATGTCTAGAGCTTGGGCTTTTCACATTTTACTCTTATAGCAGATGAAGTGGTTGAATGAATGTGTGTGTGTGTGTGTATGTATATGTATACATGTACGTATACGTATATGTATATAAATTCCCCTCTCACCCCTATGGGTGGTATGTGTCTTCCTCAATCTCGGGTTCTCTACCAGAGGCCTGGGAGTTTGAGGGTTCTACGCAGTATCTTCACTGTTCCTAGCACTGCACT